ATATATATATATATATATATATATATATATATATATACAGTATATATATATATGAATAAAAGATAAAAGAATAGTAGGATTCACAAAAAATATGTTTTTAAGAATTCAGAGACGTTATTAAAGATGCTGTTTTGTGCCAGTTGTCGGTGTTCCTTTGCAGACATTGATTCAGCAGCACCTTTAAAGTGCAGAAATGCAATAGTAGCCAGAATCGAAGGAAGGGTGTGGTTAATTTCTCAACTTCAAACTATAAGACAATTCTGACAAGACTGTTACTGTTACAAATAGCTAAGGAGACATGTAGTGGAGATGTCATGTTTGCCTGTTAGTCTGTGTACCTCATCAGTGTTTATCTGCATACTGTAATGCAGTAAGATGTGTAGTAACTTATCTGTGTATAGCTCATGGTGACTGTTTTTAGAAGACAGACATTTTAGAGGTTATTTGCTATAGACCCATCCGAGCACAGTCAGCACACATGGATATTTGTCACCGCACACAGAGAGAAGAGATCAAAGGTGATCCTAAACTGAATTTCCCTAGAGGCACTCACTGATTATTATTATTGTTTTTTTTTCTGGCTGTTGCTGGCCATGTTTTTAAATAAGCTCTTGTTTGTGAGCTGAGTGAAACCTCCGGTCCCAGTTGTCGGTTTTTCTAGGCAAATGAGTGGACACGCTGAAATGGGCTCTCTGACCTGCAGTATTATGGGTTTACTCTGATTACTGCGCTCTCTGTATGGACATCACGCTCTTTCTAGCTGGCTTCCTAGAGGTTTTCCTGTATGTTATATTTTCTTTAAAAAAAACTCACAAATTTCCTATTGAAAAAGAAAGTTGGGGCAGGGAATATTAAAAAATATGTTTTTCCTACCTGTTGTCTTATGCTTTATTAACATTAAGCATGCTAATGGCTGTTACAATTCACATTGTAAAGAGCACTTTACTGTATGGGATTTATATGCCCATGACTAGGAGATGATATTAAATAGAAGAGAGACATTTTAAATTATAAAATATATATTTGCTAAAAATTGATTTTTTTGTTTTTTGCTTTTAGCACTATAGAATATTTATGACCTCAAAGCTTACAGACGTGGATAAAAAGCCACACTCTCTAAAACCCCGGTTTTGATTTAATGTGATATTTAAGTTCAACCTTTTGTTCTATTAATGTATTAAATAAAACTTATGAAATATATATATATATATCATAGTAGTTTTATTTAATACATATTAATAAATAATTCACAATCACATATTCATCCAAATAATGAATAGCCCATTTTGTGCAGTCAGGTTGTTTAGTGAAATAAAGCAAATTCTCCTACCTGTTTTTAAACAGTAAATTTAAAGAGCTGGGGCTCTATGGGATGCAGTTGGCTCCAGGGTTTGGGATTGTATTAATTTTTAAGCAGCGTGTGTTGAGTTTTGTTTGGTGGCTTCATATGAAATCTTGAATGTGAAGCAGCTACACTTCACAAATACTGGGAGTCCGATGTGGCCTTGGGCTAGTTTTCCTCATGTATTATTTGTTTTGTGTGGCCTTTCAAGTCAGCAAATTTCTGACACTACATTCAGAGAAATGATTAAAGATTTTTGGTCAAAGATTTTCCATCAGTATTCAGGGCCAACACAGAGGAACTCTACTCCAATGTAGTGTCTGAATTGTATTAAATAAATGCAATTTGAATATCAACGAGGACAGAACGATAGTTATGGTTGTGATGAAGATCTCGAGGCATGGATGGAATATTTTATCCATTCATTTCCAAAGATTTCTAATAGAAGCTGTAGACCAGAGTTTTGTTCATTCAAACCATGTCAACATGCACACTTTATTACCGGAGGTCACGTCCTTATATCAACACAGTTAGTGTTTTCACACACCTATATTATCAATAGTCATATTCAGACCGTTACTGAGTGGAGTTTAACGACGACTATTCATTTACATGGCAGCATCGAAAGTGACTGAGTGAATTATAGGCATTCAGAAACGTTACAACTAATTAAGTGCTTTGACGTGATTTAAATGTGAGTGTAAAAGTAGGTTAGCTGATACTGTAACATGCAGTGTGTGGAGGACAGAGCAGTGGACAGACTGTCATAAAGGAAGATGAAGTTTCCCTTTGCAGATGATGGGAGATCTTAGTTATTGAAGAGTGTTGAAGGCTAATGGCCTGGATGGAAGTTTTCAGTTTTCCATCTTGTGATTACTTTAATTGCAAGAGTTAAAAGCTTTTTCTCATCAAGCCAAAACATTCTTTACACTTGTTTTGCACCATCTGGCAGTGGTTTGTTTGTTCCCTTTGTTGTTTATCAAGGAGTTATTAACTTATGGAGGCTGCTGT